ATCTTTGGTAGGCACTGGCTATATTATTTCAAACGTTACACTAAACCATTTACTTCTTATATGGGTCTTGGTTGGTATCGTATCAATAAGGAACAAAAAAAAAAGAACAAAAAAACGGGTTTTGGTATGTAGCACAATCGCAAACACAACCACTAAATTAAAAAAATTGCATTATGATGGATTTTGGATGGACTTTAAAATGTTATTATGGATTATGCTTAATTTTTCAACATCCTGTCCTTTATTAATGTTATTAGGATGCTTTTTAATCTCTATCATTTCACAGACAAGTCTTTTTTTTTATAGTTATGTTTTCCTAAAATAGCTACGTTATTGAAATCGAAGTTATGAAGTCTCTCTTCAAAATGCTCAGCTAATGCCTCATTAACACACAAAACAAAACAGTATTTTAACGAATTTTATTAAAGTGGCAATATCTCGGAAACACTCGATTTTTTACCAAGGTCATATTATGTTATTCTGGATGCTAATAATGAGTTCCTCCATCAGCCCTTTCAGTATTATCATTGACTTTCCAGGCACCCTGTATAATTTATATAAGGAAACTCTATGACTACAAAATATACTCATTCGAAGTTACCTTTTGACACCTGACAACTTGGACTTTTGCAGGGAAAAAAAGTGGGAACCATACTTTGACTTTTCATATGCATATTTTACTCTCTAGTCTCTCAGTAATAAATTTATCCGAAAAGTCAAAAACTACAATTATGATATAAAATTGACAGATTATATATTTTTTTATTGGAAATAGCCCTGCAGGAATATGGGCCGCAACCATACCAAATTTTCTTTATTAAAACATTATCTTGTTGAATTTTGAGTTTCATTAGGAAACTAGATGGGTGAAGGTCGCTTCAAATCGGGATCTTAAGGGGTCATTCCAATTCGAGAGGCCGGGACCGAGCGACTTTGCGACCTTGGTCTCATGTCGCGAGGCGACAAATAGCTTACGAGTACACACGACCCCGGCTCGAGACCGAACCAGGGACCCCAGCAGGGCCCCAAAATACTGCTGCATTCTGCATTGGTGTGAACTTGCAGAAACCACGTCAAACACCAAAATAAGAAAACATTTAAGAAAACGTTTATTGAAAGACGAAGCAGAAAAAGATGTAATTCTGTTGACGTTACCGCCAGGAAAAAGACAAAAAATTGATTCAATGTACCTACACATTAAAATCATATCGTCGTTAATTTCACAAAGTGAAGTATCTCAAATCAGGGTTTTTTGAGATACGTCACTTTGTGAAATTAACGACGATATGAGGGATGCATCCAACTGCTTATCTCAAAAAAAGACATTTGAAGTACAAAGATGGAACATGGGATGGAAAGTTCAGGAAGTATTGTAGTATTGTTCAATTTTGTACTGAGTTTAGTAAATGATACTAAATCTACTAACAACTCGTCCTCCTGGGCAGAAAACTTTGCCATTTGAAGAAGTTTTCTCTGTTCTAGGTCTTTCTAGTCTCGCAGCACTACTGCTTCTACAGCAGACCGTTGTCGCAAGCTGGGCCCGCCTACCGGTCGCGTGTCGCTGTCGCTTGCATCGGTCTGTACTGCTTACAAATCTATCAAAGCAGTTGCGGTCGTACGACGTCGCGGTCGCTCGGTCTCGGTCGCTTGTCGCGGTCTCGCGGATCGGAATGCTACCTTTAGACTAAACGGATGTTTAAAATCAGGAATAAGGTGAAGTCAAATTAAAACATTTCAACTTCAACTACAAATATTGATTTTTGCGGGCATTTTCACAATCAGTGAAGAGCAAAAAAAAGAAGTCTGAAAGATTGACTTCAGTTGACACTCTCATTGGTTTAAAAATAATGATAACTGATTTAGTCTAATTCCATGTTTGGCAACTGTAGAAAAGATGTATCCCTATATATTTTACTGCTGCAAAAAAAAGCCTTAAGATGCATCACAAATACGCCTCCTTCTCAGACTTATATTATGGGGTCCTCAAACTTCATCTATGTCTGTATCTTTCCCTGCAACTTTGATTTACAAATGACCCAGTCTCATTCTACAATTGTGAAGATGAATGATATTCCTCTCTAGTGGTAAACGCTATACAATCGCCAGCCAAAACAATCGTGACATTTTTTAAATAAGAAATTATTTTATGAGGTAAGCCTCACTATGCCACAAACAAATTTTATGCAGAAAACTTCCCACGTTCATGTTATGTATCAGATAGCATTACCAAGTTCCCCTGATGTTTTCTGATAAGAGTGCCACGGCTCTGGCTTGCGTGACAGAAATCTTTGGTCCGTTTTTCCATTAATCAAAGTCCAATTAACACAACAATAATTTATTCCACTACCATACACTCTGACACTATTTACTTCACTGATTAACTCAAACAACTCTTTACAACTCTCACAAAATTCACTACCTAATTAGTACCACAGTCAATCTTAAACTTAAAAACTACTAACTAATACCGGCCTTTATATATCTGTAATCCATTCTTGTAAAATCCAGAATAAACGCGATAATCTTTTTGCCCGAATAAAGCAGTATTTTCTAGATTTCAAGTTAGATTCTGTACTGTTTGGCGAAGACGCCAACGCGAAACTGCCCTCCTCTTAAGGTTGATCGTCACGATCAAGTTCACGCCCATGATATTTCGTCAATCTGTCTAGATGTACAACTTTCATCTCACTCCTTCCACAAATCTTCGATAATAAGAACATAATCCCAAAAAACTTCTTAGTTCATGTTTGTCGCGTGGTTTTGGCCAATCCCTGACAGCATTTATCTTTCCTTCCATAACTTGTATATCATCTTCAGATACCACGTGACCTATGAATTTCACTTTCTTTTGAAATAAGAAACACTTATTTGAATTGAGTTTTAAGTTGGCATTCTGAAAGCGGTCAAAAACCTCTTTCAGGTTATTGACTATTGAGATGTTCTTGGAACGAATTTCCCATGATCATGACATCATCTAAATATACCAGACAAGTTCTCCATGTAAGGTCTCGCAAAACTAGATGCATCAGTCACTCAAACGTAGCGGGAGCATTACACAATCTGAAAGGCATTACGTTAAATTGGTATAACCCGCTTCCGGTACTGAAGACAGGTTTCTCTCTTTTTCGCCTAGCTTCTTCGTCTTGTTTTTTTTTGTTTTCGTTTGGTCTTTTGAAGTTCCAACATCGTACGCAGAAGTTCTTCAACTGTTTGTTCTTCAATTTTTGCTTGTTGTCTCGTAATAGGCATATACAGAATGTTGGATAACTTGCTTTATTCTCGAATAGAATATTCTATATTTTTCTTGAAATGTCTTTTCTGAATGTCGATTGATATAGTAAACATATCGGGGAAGTCACAAATTCAATATCTACCTTGGTATCCAGAATTTTGTAGAACTTACTTGAAAATTCACTATCACAGTCAATCGGGTATACAGTCACTTCTGGGGTAATTTACACAATCGGTCAAGTCCCTTTTGGTGATTGTCACTACTTACACTGACTTAACTGTCCTAGTGTTTACTTAGTGTTCACACTAGAGTCCGCACTATTCTGCAATCGGATTTCACTTTGCAGTCCTCGAATTATGTCTCACTTCTGACACCAATGTCATGGCTCTGGGGTGCGCGATAGAGATCTTGGGTCCGTTTATTTCAAAATCAAAGTCCAATTAACACAACAATAATTTATTCCACGTCACTACACTAATTACTTCACTAATCAATTCAAACAACTTTACAATATTCACAATCTAAATCATATCACAGCCAATCTTAAAACCAAAAACTACTAACTAATACCGGCCTTTATATATCCGTAATCTATTCTTGTAAGATCTAGAATAAACGCGATAGCCTCCTTTCTTGAACAACGCTGTATTTTCTGGAATTTTAGGCATGGATTCTGTATACCCTGGCGAAAGCGCACCATCACAGTATTTTTGTTATCCATCTTTGCCAACTCTAGGGAAGTTCTATCCCTAATGGTTTGCTGCAAAAAAAGCTTTAAGATGCATCACAAATACGCCTTGTCAGGCTTATTGGCCATATGGGATCCTCAACTTCATATCTACGTCTCTATTTTTATCTGCAACTTTAATTTACAACAGACCTATCTATTTTGTCAGACAAAGAGGTAATAATACGAAAACTTCATTAGATAAAAAAAGACACAGAACGCTCATTGCGCAAGACGAGGTAAAACGTACCAAATTATGTTAGACTTACGTATAGCAATCCTTCCTTCTTATTTGTACGGGGTAAAAAGAGAAGGAGAAATACCGCGTGTTGTGCAACGTATTTGTCAATGAAAATTTCAAGCAACTTTTGAATGTCACTTGTCAAGCTATGTCAAGGTGAATATCAATTGTACTTTTATTCTTGTCAGACCACGGGCAATGAACAAGGACAAGGAGATGTCCAGCGTGCAAAACGAACACCTCACACCTGTACTAGTTAGCCAATAAAAAGGCATTGCCTCGTGTTGCGCGCACATACCAGGTAAAAATAGATAGGTCTATTGCCCAGTCTCATTCTACAATAATTGTGAAAGTGCTTATGCGAATCGGTGTGCAGAAGATATTCGATATTCCTTTCTAGTGTTAAACGCTATATAGAATCGCCTGCCACAATAATTGTGACATTATGACAACAATGAGAAATCATTTTATGAGGTAGGCATCACTATGCCCTAGACAATTTTTTTGCAGAAAACTTCTAACGTTTATGTTATGTATTAGATAGCATTACCAAGGTCCCCCAAAACTTGGTTTCAAGCTGTTCATGTAATTGTTTTTAAAATGGTAAGATGAGCAAAAAAATCTCTGCATACTGTAAATATACATAAAAGGTTTAGAATATAAAAATTTAGCAAAACAGATATTATTCCATCTTCTTGCATGTAAAATGAATTCCCAGCCCTCCTCCCACGATTGCGGTGTCTACTAACCCTTCTAGATCCCAAGAGCACCGACAAAAACTTGTTTCTCCGTCTTTACAGCGCGGCCTCTGCTGTTTTCCAGGACTCGCTAATCCGATCTCTGCGCAGAGAAAAGGAAAAATACCCAAACCACTACTGGCGAGTGTGACAGGACCAGGAGAAAGACAGTACGATGGTGGATCGGCAACTTTCTTCACCCCCAGTCGTCATGAGAGTGGCGAGATGTTGTTGCTCGAAAAACAAGGGCGGGCATCTCAACAGCAACGCATGACTGAAACGACAAACGATATTATTAATGTTGGACAGGATGGTCAGAATATTTGTCCTTCGCCCAGCTCTTTGCCTCGTCCACCACGTTCCTCTCACAGATCTGGACTGCCACGTAGAATGGGCGACTATAACCGATTTGAAAACACTGAACCTAAACGTAAAAATTCAAATGGTGCCGATTCTCTTTCATCTAACGCTAGTTCAAGACGTGACTCTCCCGCTCGCTCTTTAATCCAACCACCCAGAAAACTAGGTGAATATGGACGTTTAAGTGAAAGTGGCGGTAGTTCAGCGAGTCTTAGAAAATCTTCAACTAGAGTTAGAAGTGGAAGTGCTGGTGAAAGAGACTCGGCATCAACTTTGAGCGATAATTCTGCCAGTTCTCTGCCAACTCCTTCGAAAGTACACATGTACGGTGGTGGCTTGAGACGTGGCAATTCGCTGGGACGTGAAGCGAAAAGCTCTGCTGATTCTAACAAGTATAGAATTCAGTTTTGAGGCTTGAAAAAAGGGTGCACAAAGGTTTGATAATGCACTAGATTTAAGAAGATAAAAGTTTTGCTTTTCAAGTGTAAACATTTTATATAGTATTGTAACTTGTGCCTTATAATATGTTCCCTCCATATCAGAATATGAGACTGTATATTTGTGCCTAACCAATTAACAATAAAAAAAACATGTGTCATTTCTTAAGATTAACTATCCTTATTGACGTTAAAGCCTTATTTATAAACTGAGATTTATGGTAGAAGTATCATTGAAATTCTAGCGTAGTTATGGCTCAACATCATTAGAAATCAATCATTTGCAAGAATGACACTAATAGCATGACGAAATTTCTTAGTTACATTATGAATCCCTCACAACCATGGCTAATCACCAACCAGACTTACATTGGTCAAAGTTGCTTGCTAGGACAAATCTATCTAATATCTAAGATTTACTAAGCTGCTTTCCATACAATATTTAAACCGCCTTGCACATTGGTAAGGTAAATTACCTATATTTATTTCAATATTTGTTAAAAATATTAAAGGGCTGATGTTTTGTGTGATCCAGTATTATGCCCGTATAAGTTTGAAAATAGGTAGATTTTTTTTATCTAGCCCTATGTAACGTTCTACACAATCTAACATTCTGGAAGAAAATCTAACATTTCATATTACTATTATTTCTTGGGACCAGAAAGAATATGTACTTACCTACTTACTTCCAACTTGCCCAATGAAACTATTAGCTTTTTAGCGTGATGAAAACCTACTTTATGTATCCTGTGTTAATTACCTATTTAATTATTTTGTGGATTTGATTTGTAGTAATTTGTAGACAGTTTGTTTTATTTATTCAGAAAATAAAATTTCAAATAAACAGAATATGCTTTTTATTTAGTTAAAATTGTTTTTGCAAATTATAAACTGCCAGAAAAACACTGATAAGGGCTGAATGAGCTTGATATTGTTAATATAATAATAATTGCCCTTTACCTAATTATGCTCACCAGCCATTTACTTTATTTTATTTATTCAAGATCAAACGGTTTATTTTTCATTTAGGGAGCTAGCTAAATCACCCAAAGGCAGAATATTCATTATCTTAAATCTTGAGATGATTTCACAAAGATATCCTGCGGAAGACAGGACTATAAAAACAGGTAGGGCATCTAGATTTTAGATCATAGATAATTCTTTGTAGGTATTAGGTAATTTTTCATGAATGATCATCATTAAAGCTAGGAGTGAAGTTTATTAGGTAAGTACCAATTTGAATTTTAAACAGTTTCTTATGATCCGAATGACTCCGGAAATGTGTAGCTGTCAGCTGAGAGTCAGGTCTTGCCATCAGAGATATTTCATTCAAAACCGAACTGCTTGCCAGAAACAATACTATCAATGTAAAGGTATGCCAGATTATGCAGAAACAAACTATCTAACAAAATAGTGATGCCAGATTTGACGAAGAACATCAGGTTTTTGAATGTAGAAGCCAAAAGTGAAGCAACTGATGGTGAAAGAACCTTAAACGTTTGCCAGTAAAACTGCGATGGTGTGATCCGAGGTGTGATCATTTAGTTTTGGAAAGTGCAAGAATGCATTGATATAGGATGAACTGAACACGAATTGGATGTCAAGAAGGATTGGAGAAATACTTAGAATTTTGATCATATGAACAAGGCTCCAAGAAAATCATTATTGATGAAAGAAGTACCTACTACAGAGAAATGGAGGAAAATGGGGAGCAGATTCCGAAAGCAACGACAGTTCAGCAAGTTATTTTCAGATGTTCAAATTTTGCAAGGGCCTGAAGTTATCATTTCACATAGTCCGAGAGCAAATTTTCATTGAACTATTTGATAAAACATTAGGTGATGTAACATAGGGCGAAACTCATCTTAAGGAATATATAGTGGTCTTCAGACATTAAAAGAGAGTGAGAGCATAAAGGAAAGATGAAACTCTGGATTACGACAGTTGGGACAATAGAGAAAAAGAAATGTCTAATGAAATTTGTGAAAAATGATGATGAAAAATTGAATGAAACATTAACACTAAACTTGAAAGTACATCTACCACCTAAAGGTGAGAAAAAAAAATGACAGTAAATAAATGAATAAATTAATGTCACGGATTCCGGGTTTACTAAAGCTCCTTCTTCGAACCAACTTTTAACAAGGTTTATTTCTCAATTATCGCTTTTATCAAACCAACCGCACACAACAAATCTCGCATTAGAACCTCTCCAAACTTTCTACTATGCGCTAATTATTATAGACTAGACGACAATGTATTCGGGATTTTGCTAGAAGAACTAGTTCCTGTCGAATGCAATAGAATTCCTGGAAACTTCTCTTGAACGTGAAAATATTTTGTTTACACTGTAAACAAATGGATTCTTAGAATCTGGTTGGGCTACTGGGTAACTATCCCACTCCATAAAAACCTTCCAATTATAAAGCGGACATCAAAAAACATCAACTGCGACTTCCAAAACAACTTAGGCATTTTAAATATACATTCCATCCTGTTAACATTTTCTACGCAACATAATCTTGAGCTCTATGTTAACGTACTTTTGCCGTATATCAACAATAATGTTGCTAGTTTTGCGATTTCATTGGTATGGTATTTATCAAAAAGTACTGATATCGCCTTATCTTGAAATTTGTTTAGGGAATCCCGTTTATTGCACTCGATTGGTAACAGTACCTAGGCGGGTGGACTTAAAACTTTTGCTTTAAAACATTGAAAATTGGACGGATTCATTTTATTATTCCCAACAATTTTTTTTGTAGTAGCAATAGCATTCGATTGGTATTTTTTGGCTTTAGCAATAATAGTAGAAATTGGTTCCTTTTTACAATATGTGACCATTGACCATTGCAATTTACTATCTTCATAACTGAGTCGAATTTTTTCTTTTGAGTAATTTAAACGAGTTACTGTTGCTTTCGGCTACACGTTCTTACTTTTCGTTCTTTTTGTCTATATCCTATTCACAATCCGTAGTCCAAAGGTAAAGGTACATTTATCACCTTTCCCTATCAAATAGCACTAAAAGATGATAAAATTTACCTTTACCTTTGGACATTGGATTGTGAATAGTTAATATTTACTGATTCACTGACTTGATTCCCGCAATCCTCACCATCAAGATTCATTTGCAATCATTGATTGCCTTGTGCAATTATTGATCCTTAATCTGCACACACAGCAAGGAAATTTTGGAGAAAATGTTAAGGACAATCAGTCGTATGAATAAAGTGGAGCAGATGCTTTTACTCCACATCCGTCTCTTTTTGCTGCATTTAAGCAGAATATGTTTATCTCAGAAAAAAAAAGCAGTTGCTTCTGTCTTATGCATATGAGCCAATAATACCGTATTGGCGACGAGGATAGGACTGAACCAAACAGTTTAGCTTTTGATATCAAGCTATTGTAATTGGGCAAAGGTCCCAAGTTCGCTTACAAAAAAAAATAAGCTTGTTCAACTAAAAAAGGGGCATTGTTCAGTCTTAGCTTGGATATGAAGCCTGTAATTGGGAAAACATCCGAGTAAGCTTATAAAAAAACTAGTATTGGTTAAATAAAAATTGGACAAAAGTCCAAAGATGCTTGTTGAATATTATACTTATGTAGATATGCTTTAGGTTTAAAAATGGAACCACTATGCGAAGTAGCAAGTAGCAAGTTAAATAATTAAATAATAAGCTTCATGTATTTTCATGTTAATATTTAATCAATAAATCAATGATTATAAAAGAAACCAAAAAACAGTTTTCACCATTACATTAAAGATAAACTGGGAAATATTGATACTAAAGAAATAGTATATTACATACCGAGGTAGAAAGTGTTTCATTACATCAGTAATAAAACTTTTCACCGAGGAATCGGATCTTCAAAAAAAAATCAATCAAAGATTGCTATATGGTTATTTGAACGTATGTCTTAGCAATATTTTTCAATAATTTTGTCAATGAACTTTGACGCTAAAATATCCTGTCAAAAAAACCTGACCCATAAAGAAACAATAATGCGACGTACGTTTTCGTAATCAAAGCAATCTTTGATTGTTTTTTTTTTTAAAGACCCGATATGTATACTATTTTATTTAAAATCATTCGAATTTTGTGATGTTTATTTGAATAAAAACTAAAAAATTACAATAAATATAGCAATTTCATTTACTTTCGGCCCACGGGAGGAAAGTAAACTTTCGACCCGTGGGTGGAAAGTAAAAGTCAAAAAACACAATAAATTTTACCAATTTCATTCACTTTCGGCCCACGGGAGGAAAGTAAACTTTCGACCCGTGGGCGGAAAGTAAAAGTCAACAAAGTGACATTTTCAAACTTTTTAAAAGTCAGAAAAGTCAACATTACATGTATGATTGTAAATAATAGCATATTACATACCGAGGTAGAAAGTGTTTCATTACTGTCTCCAGAGTTCAGTTAGACCGAGGCCCAGCCGAGGTCTAACTACTTTGGGCCCACGGGACGAAAGTAAACTATCAACCCGTGGGTGGAAAGTAAAAGTCAAAAAAGTGACATTTTCAAATTTTCAGTCAGTCAGAAAAGACAACATTACATGTATGATTGTGAATCAATAAAAATTCTTACCTTACGCAAGTACAGTCCTGTTAAGAGTTGTTTTGGAAGGTGAATATACAGGGTGATCTATTTAACTTGAGACAGTCTAATATCTCGAAAACGGTGCATTTTTGAAAAAAAAAGTTTTAACAAAAGTTACATGGTATCATGGGGAAAACAAAATGGCGGCACTGATTTTTGACATTGACAACGTTTTCAAGGTTATTTCAAGGTCAACTCTTTTTTTTTCCAGTGGAAACGTATTTTTTTTTATTACAGAATCTTATTCTACGGAAAAAAACAAGTAACTTTTACTTGAAGCATTTTTCGATCTGGTTTCAATTTAAGCTGATAAAAAAGAACGAATCAATTTTTTTTATTTTCCTCCTCACAAAATCTAAAAGTAGAGAAAGGCTACCATAGTAAAATCTACCTCAAAAACTATAACAATAGTGAATTGACAAGTGTGTCGAAGTTGGCGGTCATCATTTTGAACAATTGTTATAGTTTTTGAGATGTTTTTGAGATGTTTTTGAGATATTTTTTTAATATGGTAACATTGGTAACCTTTCTCTACTTTTCGATTTTGTGAGGAGGAAAAAAAATCAATAATGGGGTAGTATACAAGTGATTTTTAACTACTGCATAGTGATATACTCGACGTATCGTACTATTTAGTGTTATCAGTTGCTTTGTAAAAACCACAATACACTGGATTTTTTTTTTTTTTAATTTCCCCTTAGCCCCGCCCCTACGTGAAAATAAAAGTTCGTGACGTAGTTAGTTTTTCCAATCTGGCAACACATCACGGTTTTGAGAACGCACAATGTGCACTGACATTGACCGTCAAGAACAAAACGTCAAATTTTAACGCCAAAACAAACCACGACAATATCACATGTCACACGATTCACCTTGCGTTCGGTATTTTGCTCAGAGAAGAAGCAGAGCGTGTAAAGCGGAGCCGTAATCAAGTGGCCAGCGAGCGTACAGAGCAGTTAAACGCTGTATCAGAGGGCTCGAATTTCAATAAACGAACGTGAATGAGCCTGCACCGAGTACACTTTTTAAATAAACGAACGGTTTTTTGCTCGGAGAACTCATCAAAATACCGAACGCACGGTCACACGACACCACCACACGTCGTTGAACTGTTGAAGTCAGCTGTCGTTTTGAAGCATTTTGAGCAGCGTTGCCAGATGGTCAGCGGCTCGAATATGATTGGTCGCCGCTGTGGCGCTAAATTCAAATTACAGTTTGTTTTTCTCTGACTAATTCTA